CTGATTGCTATTTGCTCCTAATCTTTAAAAAGAAAAAAGAAAGGCACTTCCTTTCCTTCACTTAGTAATGGATTAAGGACTACATTGACATGGTTAAGTTCCCAGGATCCTTTGTTCTTTAGGGATGGGTAGATGACTAATACCATCATTTATAGCAGATTCAGACCTAGTGTTACCCATGTTAAGAAATAAGAATTTAATTTTTAATTTTTAACTTTGTCTTCCATTTTCTCCTGAAATTTTTGAAGTCCCATCTAGGTTATTATTAGTTTTTAGATAGTGCTCAATGAACTGTAAAAGGAATGTTTGCTCAATGTGATGGAAATAAGATTTTGCTGCAAAGAGGTACAACAATATTAAGACAATGATGGGGTCAAAGTAGAAGTAAGGTAAAACAATTTAGAGGCATCAAAATCCCAAGACAAACACAAACAAGTGATAAGAGAGTCAAGAACAGAATGGTGCCCAATGCAACAACAACAAACCCCAGGGGTGGTGCCGGGCGCGATGCATCATTATATAAAGATATGAAGTACATGTAGGCCAATGGAAATTCAGAAGAAGGGAATACAATGTTAAAAGGAATCGGAAGTTGAAGAAGAATCCAGCTGAGATGAAAATAGAGACATGGATGGTTTGAATAATAACCCCTACATACCAAACATGACCCATTAAGTAGTTCTTGTAAAGTTTCCTTACAATTCCAACTCTTAACAAGTCAACTCCAACTCATCCCTGCTGATTCCATGGTCACAGAGCTCCGCTGCTAACCTAAAGGACAGCTGCTGGAATCCACCATCTATGCAGCAGGGAGAATGTGGCAGTCTGCTTCTGTTAAGATTTCCCATCTTGGAAACTCTACGGGGCAGATCCACTCTGCCGTACAGGGTGATTATAAGTCAGTTGTGGTTTCCTTACATATAACCAACACGCAGCATACCAAATAAAGTGTGCAATTATGCTGATACCACCCACTGCCACTAAGTTGGATTCAACTCATAGCATCACTATAGGGAAGAATAGATCTGCTCTTCAAGGTTCTCAGAGAGTAAATCTTTGCAGAAGGTGCCCTCATTTTTCTCCAGGGGAGCAAATGTTGGGTTTGAACCACATACCTCATGGTTAACCATCCAACTCTTAGCACACAGAACCACCAGCCCAACTCCCTGCCATTGAGTTGATGCTGACTCGTAGAGACTCTAGGAGAGGGTAGAACTGCTCCTGTGAGTTTCTGAGACTGCAACTAATTAGAAGGCCCCCTCTTTCTCCCGAAGAATGCCATGTAGAAAAGGAATGTTTGGAAGTGGATTGAGGTAACAAATGTACAATTATGCTGGGTGTGACTGAACTCTGAAATGACATGATATATGTATTAATTTCCGATTAAAAATTTTTTTCAAAAGCACTTTACTCCTTTGGAACATCTGCTCGTCTGGGAAGACAGTTCATGGACCTGCCATTAGAAGGAAAGGCAGGAACGCAAAACCCAGCTGCACTCATACGAGTCTCAATTTCAGGAAAGTAGGAGAGAGCAGCCACTGGTGGCCAGCCTTTGAATTGTCTGGCCTGGCTGAAAAGGCCCAAAATAGTACTTCTAGTGAAGAGAAAAAATAATCAAACGAACATCCCAAATAAAAACGTAGTAAGATGACCACGATGAAAAGGGAGAGCCGGCTATCAAAAAGAAAAATGTCTGGGGAGCTAATACCGCATGATGGAAAGGACACATATTTAAGCGTGGATCACTCTTTGGGAGAGTACAGTGTATATGGAGCAGCACAGGGAGAAAACAGCGATGCTATATTTTTCATGAAATATTTCTGTTAAAATACAAAGGATTGATCAGGAGAAGTAGCCTCAGCTCAAGACAAGACGGAAAGAAGTGTGATGGTAGCAATCCAGCCTTTCCCGGCCAACCCCCTTTAATTATATCATGCGTGTGGACTTTCGGAGGCAATTTAGGAGAGAAAATTAGAGTAGGTAAACTACAGTAGTTTGTCAGTGAAAAATACAAGTGGAAAAAATTACCAAGAGCTTTGGGCAGAACAATTCTCAGGGATGATGAAAATCCAGACACATCGATGTTGATGAAGAGCTAGAGAATAATTGAATAATTTGCCTAACTGACATCTATTGCCACATGTAGTGCTTTCCCTGTGCACTAATAATGCTGGGGGTGGGTGGGCACATTTAGCCTCATTTTAGAGAAAAGACAACTGAGGCACAGGGAAATGTATCTAGCCTGGGAAAGGCAGGATCTGAACAGAGGTCACTAAATGTCCCAAGCATGAAATGTTCAGTGTATTCAGTAAATGTTAATGATATTAAAAGTGCACTGCCTGGATGTTCATTTTATTAATATGCTCAGAAGTTTCCAACAAGCAAATGGAAAACATTTTACAGAAAGCGCTCAACATACGGCGTATTTGGAATTCTTAAATATTGTATAAATGTTATTGGTGCCTTGGCGAGACTATCTGTATAACTATGGGTATGGGCAATAGAAGTTCTAAGGGGGAAAAACGACTCAATAGATCTGTGGGTTTTGAATGATCTTTTGCTAATGATAACGCATTCCCTTAACAGGAGCAAATTTGTAAGCATTTAGCAAATGACGTCCCATTTCCTTTGTGTGGATAACAATTAAAATAGAGTTTTGAAAAACAAAAAGGTAGAGGTAATGGGCATCATATCACCACATAGCTTGCTATTTAGCAAACCTACGGATTACATTAACCTGGCGAGAGACTTAGTCCATTTCCCCAAAGACATGACATTGGATTTCAGCAAAACTTGTGTTCCACCGACATCACTTTTGTGGTTAGGAATGCACTGCTGCCTCACTCCCACTTACTTCGGACACTATTTCCACTCCTGGCCCTCTGTCCTTCTCTGCAACATTCCCCTGAGCTTATCGTTCCAGTTTGCTTCAAGCCTTCATTCCCAGGTCATATCCCGGACCTTGCCTCTGCCGACCAGGGCAACCTCACCAGTACTCAGCTTCAAGTGACGGTTCTCCGCGAGGCACACTGCTCTTTCTTGAGGTTCCCTTTGTATTCGTTCCCACGGTCTTGGACTTTCTGCTACAGATATTTACATGGTTCACTCCTACAATGAGAGTCTTC